GCTTTGGAGCAAATACAGCGATGGGTTCACCACATTTTACGACATGGCAGGGAAAGAATGAGAAACACAAGGGAAAACAATGATTTACATTGATATAACTATAATATGAAGTAACATACAACTAAAACATCAGTTGGATAGCTATTCCCTACTTTATTGGTTAGGTTTTTTTATTGCATAATGCAAACTGTTGATTTTCAAAAAAAAATAAAACGTTCATGCCCCGCATTCCAATGCTGGAGCAGGAAAGCTTGAAATACCTACCAAAACACTTGAATACAGACATACTGTTAGTATGGAAATGCTCTGTGCAGGTGTTAATCAGGTTAAATCCCAACAGCCAATCAGCAAGAAATGCTCTGTGCAGGTGGAAATGCTCTGTGCAGGTGTTAATCAAGTTAAATCCCAACAGCCAATCAGCAAGAAGAATAGAGGAAAGCTACATGCCTATTGGTTGATGCCCTGCATTCCATTGTGATGACTCATGCTCAAACGTGGTAAACAGGGCACACTAACACAGTAATACATTTGCTATAACACAGCCAAAAAACTCAAATAAAACCATTCTTAAAGCCTGTATCACAAAAATTTAAAAAACGCCTAGGGGTATTTGCCCACTGTACCTCCATACCAAATTTCAGGACCTTAGGCCCTAAAATGAAGAAGCTGAATCCATTTAAAAAATGGCAGGAGAAGAAGGAGGAGGAGAAGAAGAAACACCAGAAAAAGCAATATGGGTTCACCACACACCACTTCGTGGTGTGGTGAACCCATAAAAAAGAACGAAAGGATTCAGAAATAGTTTTTAGAAATCCTTTACCTGCTGCTTTAGAGACGTACATCGTGTTTGATATAGTCGCGGCGGCGTGCGCAAGAGACCTCCAATTAGTCTGGTCTTGCTGCTTGGGTGTGGCGCCTGAATGCAGAAAAATTACAAAATGAGTATTACAGAGAGTATACGGAGTATTCATGCACACAAATAGAAAAAAATATACCCATAGTCGTATAGGCTTCTGTGGTCTGATATACTGCAAATTTTGTAATGTGCAAAATACACATGATAATAAAATTATGATACATGCATTATATAAAGTATCAAATTATTTTAAAGCCTTTACATGTACCATCAGATCACTCGAGTAAAGAAGCACGCTGAAATAGATATTACTACAATATTCTTTTACTTGAGGACAACGAATTCTTTAAACGTCTGGTCATTTGCATTTAAACATCTAATTGCATGATTCCCCAGTTTTAGTCAAATTTAACCCCCTTGGTTGAATAAACCTGCCATTTTGTTCACAAAGCAAGCCAACGAAAAAAGCTGAGGTCGACTAAAAACTGGCTTCTTTGATCTGCTATCAAGCATCACTACCTATTCTGCAATTTTTGGTTGAAGAAAATATAGGCTTTAAAAGCAAGCAAATTGAGCATGGTACTGTAAACGGTCCCCTCCCTCCCAAACAATGCCGCACAACTAGTTCAGACTCGCGACGACTATAGAAATAACTACTCAACAGAAAAGGATAGAAAAAAAAAGACTTGGACAAACTAGGAGAAAATCTGTTACCTCCGGTGTCGCCAGTCTGGGACTGCTGCTGCCCTCCCGACATAATGCCAGTTGTCTGGTTTCTGTACTGAAAAAAACACGCCCTACACCAGGCGCGGCGTTTGTCGACTGAATGTCGAAGCCTGACTTACACCCACCTAGTAATTACAAAGAGCTTTTTGTAACGAAATTAAGAAAAAAAACGATAAAAGCAAAACACACCTGATTAAACCAGTAGATTAGCACCCTAGTAATACATGTATATATCTTCACTAACTAGTCTACGAAACTGAAAATCAAAAGGATAAAAGAGAGCCATTCTTCGTAAACAGCAATCATGGTACTTTTCAAACTGGATATACATGATTTGAACACGTCATCATTCTGGTCGCCAGCGCTACATATTGAAGTTATCACAAACAGTCTACAATTGCAATCATTTTTTTCTTTAGAATAAAAAGATCTGCTCACCACCCGAGCACAATTTAAATCAACAAGAAAAAAAATGAAAGAAGCCAATACATAATAAACAAAACTGCCCTTTGATAAGATAAGAAAACTTTCGCTAAAACGTCTAATCGTCTTAAAAGCCTGATGTTCAAAGCATCCTAGCGAAAACAATATAGAAATGCAATCATAGTCTTCTAAAAGTGCAAATTACAAACTTATTGCACACTGATTCATAAAAAAAATTGAGGGAAGCTTAAAGATTTTATTATCCCTTTTTAACAACAAAACCTCGATTTAGTTTTCAGGTAACCACTGAGCATTCGAACGAAAGATTCGCCTAATTACTTTAACATCATTTTTTTATTTCTTGATGACCTTATATTTTTTGCAGTAACTTTACGTATACATGTACATGCCTCGTATGGTCAGTGCGGTTTTATTCAATACCAGATCTTTTATGTAGGTTCTCAATTATGTTCTAAACTCTAGTAACTGAGCACAAGATAAAAATTATACTCAAGTAAATCATATCAACCTTAAAACATTATTCAACATACATGTATAATTTTATTGATTCTTATTTAACATAAATATGCATCACACAGTCACAACCATGCCTTCTATTTAATTCCGTGGGCTATACCCATTGACAACTCCATTTCATGTTTTTGGCCACTCATTACATTTTGCAAAAACAGTACCAACTATTGTTTACAAGGGAGCGAATCAAGAAAATTGCCCAAGACAGGAATTTTTAAATCTTTAATTAGACTTTGGTCTATGACAATTCTTATATCAATTTTCAAAAAAATGTGCCATTGCATCTCTAGGCTTGTCACAGAGAGGTCATTCAATTAAAAAGACATTTCAAATTTGTAGGTATTCGAATCATTGTTGTCTTTGCGTAGATATTCTGACTCATAGTTTTTCTGTTTCATGTGAGTTGAGATGTATCATGTTCTTAATCTTAGTATCAAATGAGAATTTTCTATAATAGTGGTGGATTCCTGTCCACTCATTTTGAGCCTTGGTTGCTACGTGCATTATACTATTTCGCATTGTATTCACTAGTTAGTACTTCCTATGTACACATTATGTTTGTGTATAATGTTGATAAAGGTTATTTCAAATCCAGGTAAAGAAAAGTACAGGTGACTCAAACTCTGTAGCTTTAGACACACAAGTCATCTTTGCGTTTTATCCAGTTATGTTGATGGGTATAACTCATCTGTATAAATTATGGGCCTTCTTTTATTTCAAATTTTCAATCAATTTAAGTAAGTATTTTCTATTAGCATCAACACTAGTACATTATTATTTTCTATTAGCATCAACACTAGTACACTGGTTATATATATATTTACATCATTCTTCATATTATATGTTTCATAGCATTTATTGCATTAACATTATCCATGTCTCTTGTTGTAACTTTTCTCAATACTGGGTACTTTTTTGTTGATCGTGTGTTTCTAATCTTCCCAAAATTAAGACGGGTATGTTAACATGTGTTTCAATGAATCAGACTTTAATATGGACTAAAAAGCAATTTAACCAATAAAAATGTTCAGGAATGCAAATTCATGCCTGTTTCTTGTTAGGCCATGGTGATTATTTGGATGACATCCACGCGCACATGAATTATCTGCCTTTTCAAATCCTGAAAAAAAAAGGCTTCGACCATACTGTAAATCGTACAAAGCAGTTGCAAAATGAGCCAAATACTGTATATGCCGTAAATTAAAAAAAATATTAGACAAGAATTCGGAGATCTCACATCTCCATGAACTATATGAGTTTTTGTAAATGTTTTTGTTTTGTCTCATTGACTATGGAAATAAGGTCGTAATTAGCATAATTTAGTTTGATTTATGATTTTTTTTAAATTGAAATGACAACATTTTTCGCGTAAAATTCCTCTACTTTGTCATACTTCATTTCAACATGTCCTCTATTAATTATGCAAATGACCTCCACATCAACATAATATATGCATAGTGGTGTTAACCTGCAAGTAACTTACACATGTCACAAGGTGTAAAAGTCCCAATATTCACCAATAAGGAGTCACAGAATTTTCACATTAATTATGCGAATTAGGTTATCATTCGCATAATTGGTATCTGTGGATGTTCCGCCTACCATATATTAAATAGTTTACATGTATAAAAGTACTATTATATAAAACACTGTAATTATAGTATTTTCTAATTAATTATGCAAATTAAGTCCTCATTTGCATAATTTGCACATTTCATTATGTACAACTCTCTCTCAGCTACCTACACACCAAAAATGATGAAATACGTTGTTCCTATCTGGACTTAATGGCTTATAAAGATTTCACAAGAAAGTGCCCTGCAGTTCCAGAACAAGCTGCTAGGGGAACCAAACTCACAAGACCATAGCATGTTCAGGACAAAAGATACAAAAACCGGAAGTTCTGCTGCAGTACCAAGGTCATCCACCAGGAGGCCCATATGTATAATGGAGGCCCATTGACCTTGACTTACCAACGTACTAAATATCATCATAATCCATAAAAGCGTTATGAAGTTATGCTGACTACAAATGTGCGGAAACACAAACACACAGACAGACAGACACACACAGAGACAGATAGGCCAAAAACAATACCTCCATTTTTCATGGAGGTAAAAAGTAAGGTAAAATTTTCAGTAGACAGTTTGTCGCTGGCCTACGCCCATAGGCTAGGCTGGTAATCAGAAGACAATTCTCCGTGTAGGTGTGGCGGAGATAGATAGCCGTCAGAGAAGTCTGAACATTAGAAAATGTTTGACAATTTCCATATTATGTCTGCTTGGAGGTCATGTTTTTTCTAAGAGTTGCAGGGGCATTGCGCCATGATGTAGGCATCAGACAAAGGGTAAACAATACTTGAGCTGGAACAATCTCAAAATAATTCCATTCGGGAGTTTGTCTGACCAAGTCCTTGGTCTGACACAAACGAATTTTAGAAATCTGATCCCAGTTTATATTTTCTTAGTACCAGTTATGGCGCAAACAAGCTTCTCCCGACCTGCATCAGGATCATAAATGTTAATGTTATTGAAAAAGCCAGCTTCAGACAATTAACACCACCATGTGAGTATCCCTGGGTTGTTTGTTACACAGTATTACAGATCAGCTACCGATAAAGGGTGTATCTACAAGAAAACAGTAACCTGCACCAAAGTACCTACTATCCAGAAAGTGACAGCTGATGTTATTTTGACTAACTTGAAAGTAGACCACTGACCTACGCTCATAGGCAGGCACATGCTGATTTTTCTTCTCGTTTGCCAATGTCTGCGCAATGGAATACCACCATTTTATACCCAAAAGACTGTTTCTACATTCTTTCCTTCTAAGGTTATGATCGCATTATTATGACTAGTACATTGTCCAATCATACAATGTTTATCACCAGAAATAAAAATAAAACAGCCTTTTTTTGCCAGATTCTGGCGACTCGCTTCTCTTAATAGCTGGCCAGGCACCATGATATATCAATATTTAATTCTTTCTTAGAAAATGCTGTTTTCCACTCACTCGTAATGTATAAATATAGATATGCACAGTATTACAGATCAGCTACCGATAAAGGGTGTATCAACAAGAAAACAGTAACCTGCACCAGAATACCAGTCCAGAATGTGCCAGCTGAAGCTTTTCTGACGCACTTGAAAGGTATGTTTCTGCCAGTGACGTGGCACTATTGGCAAAATATCCGCTAGAACTAGAAACTTCAGATTAACAATCATGGCACTTTGCGAAGCCACGGTCTGTTTTGAAAGTTTTTAAAGCGTGATGTTACGACCATTTTGCCATGACAAACCTTTACAAAATGAACACGAGAAAACAGCTTATCTGTTAAAAATCTGTTGACAGATGCAACTAAAAAGTTTTTTCGTCAGTTGCATTATTCACGTAAATAAGAAACTTAGTCCTATAATGGCAAATTTGTAATAATATTTCAGAAATAGGAACTTTGTCCTGCGGAGCACAACAATTGTTCTGCACATAAAGTACCTTCTATATAACACTGTATATGTACAATTTGGGGGGATTTCTCCCGCAACGCATCACACCGCAGCGAAACGCAACGAATGCGGAAGTAACTATGCCACTGCAGAGCAAAAAAGTTTCTGTGATCTAATTAAGACATGAATTATTGAAAGATATTGTGCCAGCAGGACAAGGGTTAAGACATGTGCACAATTCTCTAGAACTCTCCTTGTCCTTGTCAGGGACGTACAGGCAGGTCCATCAGAAGAAGTTACACAATATCAATATTCAAGCAGCAAGTCTCAGACAATTAACAGGTCCATATTAAAGCAACTAAAAAATGGTCCCGCCGGGTAGTTTGAAAGGAGTTTAGAATATGGCTTGGCCTTACAGAGGAGCCCATTCTGTTTACCTAGCATGACATCATGGGAAGAAAGCTGCGACACATCCTGATTTTTCTTCTTCGAATTCGTTTCAGTGCATGCATTAATGAACGTTTTTCTTATAAAATAATGTAATACACTGAGAACCTTGTCTTACATACTTACGAAATACAAGACGAGGATGTGTAGCCAAGCTTAGATTACGTGGCTATAATAATTAAACAGTGTTTGCCAAAGTCTGCGCAATGGAATGCCATCATTTTATACCCAAAAGACTGTTTCTACATTCTTTCCCACTAAGGTTATGATCGCATTATTGTGACTAGTATATTGTCCAATCATACAATATTTATCAGCAAAAATAGAAATAAAACAGCTTTCATGCCAGATTCTGGCGACTCGCTTTTCTTAGAATAGATAGCCAGGCACCATGAAATATGAATATTTAATTCTTTCGTAGAAAAATACTGTTTTCCACTCACTCGTTATGCATGTATGAATATATATTGTTGCATACTGATAGGAGTAATGAATGTATTACTGAGTCGTTGCTGATACTCGCTGTGATGAATATCAGCTGTGTTGCCTGGCAACAGGTATGTACCATAATTGCCAGCAGGGGTTGTAAGTGGCGCGTTTGTGGCGAGAAAAAAAAACAAACGTGGCGTTTGTATCCCCCCTCGTCACGGTTCACCTTTCTTGATCTACTGGATACGTCGGGTGTGCTCTCTGTCTGTCACCTTGCCCCCTCCCAGCCTAATACACAGTTGTTTCTGGCTATCTGGTCTGTCACTGCCGATCTCTTCTCTCCTTTCTTGTGTGTGTGTCGTTCCTGAGATCTCGTGTACTTTGCTGCATTGGTCTTGTCTGCTTTTTCTCTATGGTCTCCTAACTTTTTACCTCCCTGAAAAATGGAGGTATTGATTTTGGCGCGTCTCTGTGTGTGTGTGTGTGTGTGTGTGTGTGTGTGTGTGTGTGTGTGTGTGTGTGTTGCGCACATTTGTAGTCAACATAACGTCAGAACGCCTTTATGGATTGTGATGATATTTTGTATGCTGGTAGGTCTTCGGAAGCCGACGGTCAAGGTCAAATATGGGACTCCTGGTGGCTGACTTGGTACTGCAGCAGAACTTTTGTATTTTGAGGGAAAACAGATGTGCCGGTTTAATGCAAAACACGTGTGGTCAGGCAGCGCGTCTACCCGGGGTTTGATTGATGAGGTCCCTCTGGAATATAGCCTACATGTACTGAGTTGACAGCCTGGCCTATTTCAGGACAAAAACCTGTGTTATTTTGTTATGTACTATAGTGTAGTGTACTGTGTAAACACATTTACAAAAACTCATATCTTGTACAAGCAAATCTATCCTCAGACAATTATATTTATATTCAAGTAAACATTTTTCTTCCAAATTTGAGGTAACGTTTTGGGTCGCCTTACTGAGAAGCTTGTCGTTCTGTTTAGGTGGCAGGACACCATGGGAAGAAAACTGAGAAACGTGCTGATTTTCCTTCTCATCATCCTGGAGGAACCCAGCATGCAAGAAGCTCAGTGCCTGTGTGAACCACCATCACGTGTACTCTGTAATAAGGGCCTAACCAGCATCCCTCAGAACTGCCTAACGTACATCTCTAAGTTGGAATTAGGGAGAAACCTTATTAAAACTGTAAAGCAGTCTGAGCTGTTAAGGTACAATAATTTGGTCAACTTATGTCTGAACAACAACCTGATAACAAAGATTGAACCTGCCACATTTGCAACTCTACCAAGGTTAGAGTATTTGACACTTGCCCGAAACTTGATAGCAGAGGTTTATCCTGGTTCATTCGCACACATGCCCATGCTAAAAGAATTGCATCTGGACAACAACAAGATAACAAAAATTGAAGCTGGAACAATTGCAAATCTGCCCCAGCTACTAAGGTTGGTCCTGAGAGACAACCAAATAACTACCATCAATTTTGGTTTATCTCCAAATCTGCCCAAGCTAGACGAGCTGTACCTGGAACACAACCAGATAACTACCATCCATTCTGGTGCATTAATTGCAAATCTCCCACAGATAAAACGGTTGTACCTGTACAACAACCAGGTGACTGCCATCAATTTTGGTACATTTGCAAATCGACCCCAGCTACAACAGTTGTGGCTTTACCGCAACCAAATAACTACCATTCAGTCAGGTGCAGTTACAAATCTTCCCCAGCTACAAAACTTGCAACTGGAAGAAAACCAGATAATTACAATCCATTCTGGTGCATTTGCAAATCTACCCCAATTACTAGACTTGAGCCTGTGTGACAACCAAATTACTACCATCCATTCCGGTATATTTGGGAATCTGCCCCATCTACAAGAGTTGTGGCTGGGGAAAAACCAGATAGCTGTCATCCAATCTGGTACATTCGCAAATCTACCCAAGCTACAAAAGTTATGGACTTGGAAACAATCACATAACTACCATCCATTCTAGTACATTTGCAAATCTACCCCAGCTACAACAGTTGTGGCTCCAAGACAACCAGATAACTACCATCCATTCTGGTACATTTTCAAATCTGCCACAGTTACAAGAGTTGCGGATGGAAGACAACCAGATAACTACTATTGATTCTGGTACATTTGAAAATCTGTACCCTATTAAAAAGTTTGAAACTTGAGAACAACAACATGTCGGCCATTCCCCTGTCAGTCTTCTGTTTGTTCACATCAACTGTCAAAATAAGACTTACCGGGAACCCCTGGCAGTGTGACTGCAGGATGGCTCCTGTCAGACTAATTCCTGCATTTAACGACCAGATAATCTGTGCACAACCCGCCAAAGTTGGAGGACAGGAGCTTGCAAATGTCGATCTCAAAGAATTGGTATGTGAAGAGCAAAGGATACCACCTCTCACTGGTAATAGCTGTTTAGCTACAGAGTCAACATCTTCAGTTGGCAACACAGAAAGCAATGCCAGCCCATCAGTATTTAAACACACCGGTGCTGGCTCAACGGCAAACCCTGCAGAGAACACAAACAAAACAGAAGCAAGACTAACTTTGCCCCTTGCAATCACTTCAGACCAACCAGAATCTGCTCCCAATTTCCCCCAGCCAGCTACAGTTACACAGATAGGTGATATCCAAGTAATCTCTCACAACTCTCACTATCATTGGTACTTCAAGCACAATGCTGCCCCAATATCAGATCCCGCAGGAAACACAGGAGCAACACTAACTTCGCAGCTCGCAATCACTTCAGACAAACCAGAATCTGCTCCCAGTTTCCCTGTACTTCCTCGCATTCACTCTATCGGTGGTTCAGTTGCTGGGGCTGTTCTGATTGGGACTTTCTTGGTTGTGATTTGGAACAAGAGGAGGACCAGGAATCCTCCATTAGGGCCAAATCCCGGTGCTATTGGGACAAACTCAAACACGGGAGTGTCTGTTATGGCCAGTGATCAAGATCATCAGTATGAAGATATTGACAACCATCAGGATCAGCTAGGACATCGCCGGTCTCAGGCTAACATTCAATCTCTGACAGTTGGAAACCTATCACATGACAGAGTGCAAGCTGCCTTGAATCCTAATCCTATGTACTATGTAGGAGTTAGGGCACCGCCCAAAAAAACAACTTCCACAGAAATCACCACTGGTCATTATCAGACAGGGCAGGGTCAGTTTCAGACTATCACTGAATCCACCACAAACACCACAGCTACTGTAATGGCCATTGTTCATGACCAGACAGGGGAGGATCAGTCTGAAACCATTACTGCATCCAACACAAACACAGAAGCTACTGTAATGACCAGTGGTCATGATCAGACAGGTCAGGGCCAGTCTCAGGCCATCACTGAATCATTGGATGTTAGTAATCTATCCTATGGAACAGGGCCAACTTTCTCACAGCAGCATTTTCTATACAAAGCTGTGACCCAGTCTCGGACCATCAAAAACACGGCTGTCGTAATGATGAGTGGTCATGATCAGACAGGACAGGGTCAGTATCAGGCCATCACTGAATCCCTGGATGCTAGAAATCTATCTTATGGCACAGGGCCGACTGTCTCACAGCAACATTCTGTTTATAAAGATGTGGACCAGTCTCAGACCACCACAAGCATAGCTACTGTAATGACAAGTGGCCATGATCAGACAGGACAGGGTCAGTATCAGGCCATCAATGAATCCCTGGATGCTAGAAATCTATCTTATGGCACCCGTCCGACTGCCTTGAGGGTAAATTCTGTGTACACAAAAGTGGAAACACCATGATTCAATCCACATTTATACAGCCAGGAAGGCTGGGCAAGCAATAAAGGACAAAAAAGTCATATTACCTCCGGGAAGAAGGTTATGTTTTTAGTAGCGTTTGTTTGGTTGTTGTCTGTGAACTCAAGAAGCTATAGATGGATTGTCATGAAACTTGGTAGGTGGGTATAGGGCTTGATGGGACCTAGAAATGTCTTATGACCTAAATTACATAATTAGTGGGAAATGGCTATAGTGCCATAATGGTAAATGTTAGAAAATTAATACTTGCCCCATTTCGACGTTAAGTAAAGGTGAACACTCGTTTAACCCTACCTAGACCGGGCTTTTTTTGACATGGGGGGACGGGGGGGGGGCTCTTTTGACCCCCCCTAAGAACTCGCGAACGGTATGTTGTATCACCACTAAATTTTCAGAGAATGGTGTACTAGTGAAAATTTATCATATCTACAATTTTTATGTCGTTATGATGTAATATGACGTCATAATGACGTCATTAATGTGATTTTATTGGCCAAAACCGTCTAAATAGGTTTTTCCCTGAACACTACATGGTATTCAACATAACTGTACCAAAAGTGTTTATGACAGAATATTATGGTGTACTAAGTCTTATGTTGCCCATAGCAACACCGGTGACGTCATAAAATGACGTCATGCATATTTAAGATATCCGCCATCTTGGATCATCAATCTTGAATTTTCAAAAATAGTTTCTTTTTTCATGATAAGGCCTAAAATACATCGTAAACATACTAAAGACCTTCATTTTAACCTTTTTTGGAAAAAGAAATGGAAGTATTGATGAAATTTTAATGAAAATAACCTGTATATACCTGTTCTAATGATATGGTCCGCCATCTTGGATTTTGGCCAATGACGTCATCAAATTAGCATAAATTATGCATGTTTAATGATAAAATTTACATAAAATTATATTGGATGTTATCAATATTAGAAACCATGAGTAACTTGACATAAAACCCATAAAATTCTATTGTTGAAACAAAAAGTACTAAATTTAGCAAAAAATGCCTGTCAGAAACCCGTTGCCATGGGAACACAAAAATTATTATCTTATTCCAATGATAGAGAATTGTTGCCAACAATATTCTAGGAAAAGTCACCAAGTCTGGCGGTTCTAGCTCTAGCCGTTCAGACGCTATGTGACATCAAAGTTGCCGCGGGCACTTTTACCCCCCCCCCCCGGTCTAGATAGGGTTAAGTCTAGACAGATACAGTGCACTCCTCCCCTGAGTGTGTAGTAAACGAGCCCCGGGTGACAGAAAGAATGGCCATCCGGGGCAGACAGGTCTTCCCAAGGGTTTTCAGGAATGTGGGCATAGATATGGGTCAGAGAAATGCTTCTGGACATTCCATTACTGTGGACAAAATGTCTGTACCATTCCCCATTACTGTGGACAAAATGTCTGTACCATTCCTAGAATTCTTGCAAACTGCACACAATACTGTACCATTAGGCTCCTCCCTGAGACGTCGCCAAAAATACTACCATTTTACATGGCGAAGGCATGTGTTCCACTATGCATTGCAAGGGTAAATAAGTGAGAACTTCGTGCACTTGTGTCATTAGCCTCTGTACACTTGAAGAAGCCACACAGGTGAAACCGGTAGTATGACAGGCTGAATAAAAGTTCTAAACGGGAACTATGCGGCTCCAGGTGTCTTACTGAGGGACGACTGCGTGTGCAAGATATCGGCTAGCTTGAGGAATGAATCCCCTCTACTATATGCTACACCACCATAATACATTAAAAGGTTAAAATTACTACCACTTTTCATGGCGAAGGCATGTGTCCCTCGAACTCTAGCTTAGATTGCAACCCGGTTTAATTGATGTGGGGCTATCACTACAAGTACTTCTGTCATGAAACATTGTAGTTTCCAAGGCGACTTTACATTTCAACCTTGACAAAGAACAGACCAAAATGCTGGCAATGATTCAAAAACTACATCAAATTATTATTATTATATGTTTATGAATAATGTCAAAATTTATCCGCGGAGGATATCATCCATAAAATGTACTTGCCGTGGCCTAAGTATGGATTCCAATAAGATAACTGCTAGCATGCTGACGATCCAGAACTATTTATAGTCCAGTAACTGTGCAGTACCCAGAAAAACAGTATCTACAGAACCAGAACAATAGCTTCTGCTCGTGAGGCTGCCTTTAAGCTCGAGGTTATATACACTTTTGACAGCTTCATTACAACCACAAAGTTCTAATAACATCTCTGGATAATCTCCTGCTGAGTAAGACACGAAATTACCGGTTTTGCCCTACAGCAAAGTAACTGAATATTATAATTGGGTAGAAGTCTATATGTAGAAATAAGAAAAAAACATCATAATATCATAAGAAAAAAACTCATAAAATAAAGAGCAAGCTATTACATTTTGCTGCAACAGGAAGTTTTTTTCTAATTTCCTTAATCACGTTCTTCTTCAATACACTATGTTATGGCTGACATCCCGTTCGTTATTATGTAAGTTTTAACCTTTGACAAGAAGGTTGTGTTTTCATCACCGCAGCAGAACTCCGCTCACTGATGGAGGACAGGGGGGACGAGTGGAGAAGAAGAGCCCGTTGTCTCCCGTGTTGACATCTTTCATGCCCCTGTTCAAGATTCAATGTTATGTTTATGGCAGTAGTCTCATGTGGGTCTGTGTTAACACGATTATTAGGGAAGCTTTTTGTCTTCATATTTGGTAGGCAAATAGGCCTTGATTAAAACACAAACTGATTAGATTTTGTGCCCGTTGGCAGCTTGCTATGTGTTGGATTAACCATGTCGCCTGGCTGGGGAACGAGTAACTAGTCGTACAACGTCACCAGGGAAGAAAACTACTAATTCTATAGGTAGGTCTGATCTAAGTGAGGCATACAGGTGTCTTGGGAGTATCATTAGGCTTAACAAAAAACAGTCATCGATCATCACAACTTAGGCCACACCAATTTAATTTCTTGGTTAACGGATTTTTCTAGAAATAATGGAGCGGGCGGGCGAAAAAAATTAAATAAAAACATGCCTAGTCATCCTATCATGGCCCAAAAAGGTACGATAGGAGCCATGAAGTCAACACACTAGGCTGTTTAAAAATTTAAACAATGAATTTTGAACTTTTTATAATACCACTGTATTGAGAGATGGAATAGCTGTAACGACTAGGAAAAAAAGGACTGTTTTCAACTGTTCAGGACAAAATATGAACATTTTGAAATTTATTCTGATTTTTTTTTTTTGCAAATCAGAAAAACATTAAGCGGGCGAACCCGTTGGCCAAGAATTTTTATTTAAAAATTGGTACGGCCTTAGTTGCAAAGGAATGTTCTCTCTGTCGCTAGAATCGTAATACGTAGAAAAGGACTATGATGCATATGGAGACATACATGCATTAGATCTTTTTTTCCACACTCAAGTTTTTTCAACTTATTTTTACGCCAACACAGAGGACAATTCAATACGTGAGTAAATTGCCTTTCCCAAATTGCCAAACCTGCCATGCCACAAGATCAGCATCATGGCAGGGTTCGAACCGGAGAACCTATTGGTTATGAGACGAGGACTCCACCGTTACGCCACCCGACCTAACACGTGAAGTAAGGGGCTCCCGTATTTTCCGGCACATGAGACAACCAGCATGTCTCTGGAATACTACACTGAAGAGGAAAATTAAACATTTCGCAGGATAAATAAGAACTAACTGGCAACCAATTTGTCTAGACTTGATTGATTCGAAGAAGTTTTACCATCGACGATAAGAATAGGAAATGTTCTCAAATTAAAAAAAAAATGCTCTAAATCCTTGTCTCTTTTTTTCTGATACCGTGCATTAAATGAGATGAAAAAAATGTGGCCATGCAAGCCTACCTTTCTGTAGGAATCGAATCGAATTTGAGTTAAATTTTAATCAAAGTTGATCCGTTCGGTATGATATAGCTAGCTGCCGCCGCGCCGCGTGCCTGCGAAGCTGGTGTGTTACGCCGAAGGGCGGTTATACCGGCTATACAGAATACAGATACAGGTCCCCAAACGGTGCTTCCCTAATCCCTAACACTACCCAAACACCTGCCAACGATGGCTAAACTTCCTGTCTACACTAAAATGTTTTGAACATCTAGAAACATTTCGTTTGCGCAGCAAAGCAGTATCCAACTTCGGCGAAAACAAGCCAACCACAGCAGACCTTGCTCCCGACTTACTACCAACTTATAGTTGGGAGTTCGGCAGTGTTCGGTTTTGTTTGTCGGGGACGAGAATGATAGGATCTAGTTATTACAATTCATTATTCTAATTATTACAATATTACACATGATACAAGATTAAGAACATTAGTCTTATGGATGAGATCCTCTGAAGACCCCTAATCTAGTGCGCGCGGGTGAATAAAAAAAATTCCAAAGCTAAAGCTAAAAATGTAACTAAACCACAGGAATACAAAGCCGGTATTGTGAATTTGTGGTAGTGCATACCGACGTATCTGACAAGACGGCACATGCTGGCATTTTGTGGAATTTATGAATCGGCACTGTACGTATGTACTGAGTTCTTGAGTCGTGAAGCTTCAACGGTAGCCTGGGTGCCGTCCTCCAGAGTTACCACCGGCTCCGTATTGTCACTAACTACCATGAACTACCCAGGCCTAGAGCCAGGCCAGACCTCGGATCTTTTTTTCACAGAACAGGCGAAAATCAATGCACGCGCGGATGTCATCCATAAAGTTACGTCAGTGTGGCCTTAACAGTAATAACACACCACATAGACTTTATACTAAGTCTGGGCACATTTTCTCCGTTCGCAATTTCCTCACACTCCAACTACGTCAAACATGACAAACCCCTTCCCTTGTCTTCCTCAGCAGTTTAAACTATCATGATGCCCCGTTTCTATTCCTGGAGCCTGCATAATTTGTAGTAAACCTCTGCCGAAGATAGTGTCTGTCTAAGGCTTAAAGGCATCCAACGCAATTTCAGGGAG